TCTTTAACTATACACATGCTACACCTACACCTACGCCCACACCCACATCCACACCCCACACCCCACACCCACACCCACACCCACACCCCACACCCCACACCCCACACCCACACTCACACCCACACACACCCCACACCCACACACACCCCACACCCACACCCCACTCACACCCACACCCACACCCACCCATACCCACACCCACCCACACCCACACCCACCCCACACCCTGCACTCGTCGCGTTCTCAGGATCTCGCCAAACTTTTTTTCGACTGAAAATGATAATCAGGAGCTGAGAACGAGTGGCTGACTCGAATCGTGACTCATGTGTTGAGAAGAAGAAGAAGAAGAAGAAGAAGAAGAAGAATTTGTCATGGCAACTAAGCGGGTGAAAAGCAATAAGTCGACTCTGCCTGCACTTCGTGCAGTCAGCCGACTTAAAAATAGGGCGTCTGTAAAGAAAAAGAAAAAATTCAGTTTGAAATGCAGAAATAAATACGATAAATCCTTACTCTGATGACCGATTATCTTGAAAAACAACTATAATCTACGAGCGATTTTTTACTTTACGTATTTTGTATTAGTTTAATGAGGCTAAAGAATGTGTGTGAGTTCCATATTTTAGCGCCATGGTGGCTACGCTAATAAGCTCTTATCAAATACTTGACGCTATGTAAATCGATTTACTTCAAAAAGCTGTTTTTATCTTGAATATAATTATGAAACATTCGTTATTCCAATCCTGACTATCGAAGTTGATCAAGATTTGCGTAATGTTTACGCCTGGAGCACAGGAACTCATTGAAGATTGAAATAATCTTGTTCATATATCCAGATTTCATACAGATTAAATGACATATGAGATACCTGAAGCAGATTTGATTCATCGCATGAAGAAAGAGCAGTAAGTAAACGAAATATTTTGCAATTGGTATTCATATTGATTCATTTTAGATAGACGCAATTCAAGATATTCTCATAATCCATTACAATTAAAGACTTATTTTCCTTCAATAAAAATGATTACTGTATTGGTGTATCTGTTAAAAAGATATTTTGGAATCGCCTGCTCATTTAGATTTTTCTGAACATATTATTTCGATCCAAAACATCTTTACAAGACTTGTCAAAATGTACGAAAAAATTCTGAATTCTAGTGAAGTAAACCAATTTCTATCTATCTCTTGACTTTTCGAAACTGTGAACGTCTGTTTATCTGTTTATTGTAAATGGGAATTCGGTAGAAAATTCCAACTTTAATGTTTGCCAAGCCAAAAATGAACTGGATATCTCAGTCAAAATGACCGAAATCATTAACTCTACGAAACACATATAGCAAAACTGAAAGATCACCTTTTTGATTGAAGAAAAAATTACAATAAAATACATTTATTGGAATATCAAAAGGTTGTTCAGTCGTTTGAAGAACTCGAGCGTAGTTTTTCCCAGTGTTAAAAGTTTTTGGCCACATCACTGATCGATTGCTTATGCATGAATAATATTACATTCCTTATTCTCTTCTTTTTGCTTTTTTAATTCTTCAAGATCAATACCCAACGCACAACAATCAGTTCCTCTGTTACAAAGATGTGATTCATACCACCATTGCGATTCAGCTAATAAACCAGGATGATTATCTGTAACCCGTATCATTAGTCCAGTGCAAACAATCGGAGCATTGGGATCATTGAAATCAATAATGTCGTTGTTTTTAATACCAATAACCCATTCAATAACATCGTTATTTATATTAGAATCAATAGTAGTCTTACTAGCATCCAATGTTTCATGTGCTATTGTCTTTATACTATCTGGGTGAACACGACATTGTAATACAAATTGGATATATTGACCTTTTTTAAAGAACTTCTCTTGATCTGATGACTCAATTCGTTTGATTTCAGAATACCTTGGATGGGCTACATAAATAATTGATGGGCTGACATATATTCCTGAGCCATGTTCTATGGCATTGGCCGACTTCAATCCACTTAACAAAATCGATAACCCATATGCAAATTTTGTACCATGATAACAAACACACCAACCTTTAAACTTGCCGTCAAAGTTGTCAGTAACATGAAGAGAATGTCTTTTCCATCCAATAGGGCAAAAATATGCATGGTTGCCACGATCTCGATTATCTTGAAGAGCACCATTCCAATATGAATGACCTTCATCATAGATACGATTCCATTGAGGATGTAGTGAAATTTCATCGCGAAATTTTTGTTGTTTTTTAAAGGAGACAATGTCGCCCAAAAACATGAAGAATACTTTTAATTTACCAATTTCCTCTTGTATTTTATTCGTAAGTGAATTATATAATGCTTTAATTTTAATTTTTTTTAGGATAGAATCAATGTTTTTGAAAATCGCCAATTCCAATACAACACAACCTTTCTGTATTTTTTTAATCTCCATATCAGTTACATTTATGTTGAATATGTTGCTAATTTGATTCAAAAATTTCTCTATGTCAAATACATCATAATTTTCACGAATAACAAATATTAATGATGTAGACGACAATGTAATATCATCTTTTAAAATGTCATCAGAAATCGATATTATTGGCATTTCTGTAATATGATAATAGTATTTGCATTTCTCATAATACTCTTCTTCTGTAGGCGGTATTGGTTCTGTTGACAAAAACATTTGTTTTTCTATTTCATCTTTTTGTTGAAGTTGTTTTTTCACTGTTCTTCCAGAGAGAACATCTAGTTGTCATCGAAGAAGAAATAAAATCAGATATAATAAAGGATAATTACAATGACACTATTTGTTATCAACTGTTTTCATCTATCAAGATCTTCCGCTAGAAAACCATTCAAATTGAGGACGTTAGCCTTTTCACGGACTCCCTCTTAGCATATCTATCATTATCTACAAGTATATAGTTACTTAGAGTAGTGGCTGTGTTCTGGTTGGTGATAGTTGGTACGTGTTGATCTAAAAGAGGAAAGGACATCCAACGGAATCAACCTCCTTTATTCATCTCTCTTTCAAGTAAGAACTTCGCCGTCCATTTCAAACGAAGATACTTGTTCAGTGCAGTGAAATACTTCCTCATTAAAAGTAAGTAGCAAGAAACGGGCTCTGAAGCTTGAGAGAGATGACGGAAATGAAACTGGGCTGACCGTTGAAAATTTCTATTCGGTTCTTAAATTCTGTTTGTATACTTTCAAGAAAGCTTTGACGTTCGAGGATGTCAGCTTCCGATATCGGCTTTTCACTACTCGGATGTAATACGGCATATGCTTTATAACAATTCTTACAATCAGAAGTCTTCCACACTTTTTGAATCAACCCTCCGAGTCCAAGTACCAAAATCTTTGCGAAAAAGGTTCTCAAAAAACGTTGAAAACAGTTCTGAATATGAATCGAGATAGTCAATCACTTTTCATTCTACGATTTCTATTCAATTCTGAGGAATCGTACAAAATCTCACTATCTCTATTGAAATTATCGCTGCTGACAATCTCAATGAAAAGTGATGTAACAAGTTTCTCCTGTTCAACTAAGCTCACAAAGTTGGGCAGTTACAAAATTCTATAAGCACAGGTTTTTCGATACTTTTTACCATCTGGGTATATCAAGTGTTAAAAAGGCCTAACATTTAAAAGAGTTCTTCAGAAAACTGACTTGTCACCTCAACTCTCTCAAAGTATCTCCGACAAGAGAATAATAGAGGTGTTACATTTTTCATCGAAACTAAGGTAAGCTTGTTTGCTTTGGCATGAAGTTAGCCACGAGGAATTATTGAGGTCCTTTACCACTGTGACGGGTCTGTAGTAAGAATTTCGAGAAAGAAAATGAGATTTTGTGCGATTCTTGCAGAATTCAATTGGAACCATGTAATCAGATAGTATTGAATAGTCAAAAAGTCTCTTTTATGTTGTTCAACAGAAGTCCACAGAACTCTCAGAATTTTCGTTTATATTGAGTCATCCGGAATATTTTTTCGATAGGCACTAATTTCAAGACACATTCCAGATTCCATCCCTTTTGATAGAACTTTCCCATTTTGTCTGTATTTCCTTATCCATTTCCATCCTCTCTAGGATATTTCAAGTGTGCTTGCATTTTCGCGTTTATTATTAAATACGTAATCTAAGTAAACCGGCAGCTTCACCATTTCTGCCTTGAGTTACGTTCGGAGTTTCTTAGTAAGAAATATCACTCCCATTGACAGCATACAACAACATAGATTGCAATCGCTGTTCTAATTTTCACTCAACTTCTAATAAATGTAAAGAATACTGACCTTTTTTCTCAGAATTGTCACTTTGAGGCTGCTCCTTAGCTGTTGACAACGTCTCATCTTCATTGTCATTATCGCCGATCGTCAGTGATGTAGTATCGTTGCCACAGTCACAGCTCGAACTGATTTAGAAAGAAGGGAAGTAGAAAAATTGACACAGTAAATTTTATTCTATTAGAGTTTTTATGGTCATCTAACGAAACTCATAGAAGATGGATGATGTGAGATCATGACAAATTTCAAATTGGTACCAATTTTCACTAAATGTCTGATCGCTGATATCTGATTCTTAAGAAGGAAATCAGATATTTACTTTGACCTACGATTCATAAATATGATCACAAAAAACAGCTATTAGATATTTACTTTAAATATTAAATTTGAAAATTATTGTTCAAAAATACCACATGAAACATCATATAGTACCTATAATTTTAAAAAATCATCAGCAAGCAGATATCAGATATTTACTTTCAATATGAAAATTTGAAAATTATTATCAAATATAACATATGAAAGACCACATACTACCCATATTTCACAAAATCCTCAGACAGCAGATATTAGATATTTACTTTCCATATGAAAATCTGAAAATTATTCTTAAATATAGCATATGAAACATCATGTAGTACCTATAATTTTTAAAAAATTCTCAGAAAGCAGATGTCAGATATTTACTCACACTATCGATTTCTGAGAAATCAAGAAAAAAGCAACAATAAACTCATGCTACATACTTAGGTCTGACCAAAAGTTCTGAGAACATTTAATAAAAATATAAAGATAAGGAGATATTTTTAATTTTATTTTATCAAATTTTGAGGAACGTTGCCATGATTATTTATATCCAGGTCGATCCTTCCTAACAATTTGTTAAAAGGTTTTTTGACCTCTTTTTTGAAAAACTTTTTAGGTACCTTGGATACTACATAAGCTAATCTTGTTTCATTTATTTACTCAGTTAAACTATGTTCGATGGAATTAGTTAGGCCAAAATTACATATCAGGTCTGGTGAATATAGTGGATATGACATTATATTGATGCCTCCTTCTGTCAAATAATTAATAACATTGGATCAGTATGAAGCCAACCATGATCGTCGAGCAATTTTGTACATTTTGAACGTGATGTCTTTGTTTGTTTTCATATTTCATTAACAAAAGGCTTTGGACAATTTTCAATATAATATTTGTGACCTGCAGTCTTGCCTTTATCTACACTCAGGATTATTTCATTTAAAGAATATATCAAACAAAGTTTTGATTAAAACCTGTCTCCATGAACAATAGTCTTTGACGATTCATCTTCAATAAGCCAGTTAGCAGCAGAGGACTTATGACTAACCTATATAAAATAAATCCATATCCTATCACTAGTAATGCTAGAATGCAACTAACATGATCGAACAAAATTTCGCTAAATTTTTACAATAAATGAAATATGATTAATTCATGTGGTATCCAAGATACCTAAAAATGTTTTCGAAAAAGAGGTCAAAAAACCTTTTAACAAATTGTTAGGAAGGATCGACCTGGATATAAATAATCATGGCAACTATCCTCAACATTTGATAAAATAAAATTAAAAATATCTCCTTATCTTTATATTTTTATTAAATGTTTTCAGAACTTTTGGTCAGACCTAAGTATTTCTAAATTTCAGCAATATGACGGCGAAATCTCTAATTTCTGCTTTCTGATAATATGTCAGAGATACATAGTGCGAGTAAATCATTGAGAGCCGTCCGAATTCCGTAAATTCCGAAGTCTTGAGAAATTCTTGAACTAAGAAATTATTTAGTACGTACGGGCATTAAGAAACCGCAGCATCAGATAGCGTAAACAAACTCAAGGAGGTCAAGAACTTCAAGGATAGCAAGGATCCAAGGAGGGAAAGTCAGAATCTTGGAATTCTGAATTCCTCTGGATCCCAAAGATTTCGTAGGATTCCATAAGATTCCGTAGGATTCCGTAAGATTCCCTAGGATTGCATGAGATTCTCTTGGATTCCTTAAAACTCCTCAAGATTTTCAATAAGCTTCTAAAGCTGTCAAAGCACTCCCTCTGTGTCATCCTTAGGTTTGATCGTACGAACTGAGCCAACGTGGAGTCCAATACTCCATACTATACCCATTTTAAATATATAACACAATTAGTTATCAATAAGTATCGTCAATTGTCCCTAATCTTTTAAGGAAACTTCAGATTGTTCCCAAAAAGAACAATGGTACTGTGATATCGGAAGTGCCATTCCCGATCAGAACAGCGTACCTTAATTAGCCATAATTAGGTGAGTACTTGACTAATTAATACTAATTAAGATAAGTATTAAGGGTGTGGGCGTGGGTGTGGGTGTGGGGTGTGAGTGTGGGTGTGGGGTGTGAGTGTGGGTGTCTGTATGGGGTGTTGGGTGTGGGCGTCTGGGTGTGGGTGTGGGATGTGGATGTGTGGGTGTGGGTGGGAATGTGGGTGTCTTTATTGTATCTACATCCACATTCGCACCCACACCTTCACCCAAATGACACCCCACACCCACCCATCCACAACCACACTCGCACTCACACTCACATGCAAACCCATCCACACTCTTTTCAAGGCAAAGTTATAATATCATCCGTGAGGCTATGAGTTTTTAAGTAATCATTGACCCAAAAGACCACATAGGTCTTCACCGTTAATTCCTAGAATAGTCTGCTGAGTGCCATGATCACCAGAAACTAATGGCAAGTCATTCTGTTTTACATTGTTTAGAGAATCTATCGGCTTTCGCAGCTTCTAGTACAAACTCATTTATACAGTGAACGGATTGGCTTGAATGCATTAATTCCCAATATAGCTACTACTGCAGACGCAAGTACAGTTTGCGTAGAAAGTGGAAGTGTATCCGCATAATATTACATGAAACAGTGATCACCAGTTTTCACTCGCAAGAAACAAGAGAAACTCACCTTTCCTCGTCGAAATCATCAATTTTGACGTCGTTGCTCATTGATGACGGAAGTGGCACCTCAGAAGCGCTTAAAGCCGACCTTGGTCGAGGAATCTTTGACTTTTCATCCCATATCCTCCTAGAAGATGATGGTTTGAATGCTGCTGATGTTCGTATCGGTATTTTTGAGAAATTCTTTAGCTTTGTTGTATTCTCTAATGATTCAACGCCAAATTTGATGGGCTGCATAGGGGTTGTATCGACCTATATGACGACAAAAAAAATGGACTTGAGAAGGTTTTTCAATAAAGATAAACATGGTTGTAAAACAGTTGAGAAATTGTTGAATCGTTTTTCTGCTAAAGCTAATCGAAAATAATGATCACGTTTTAGCCTAGAGGAAAAAGCAGATTTTGGAATTCTGGGATCTTTCTAGATTCTCACAGTTTCACAATCTGCTTTTCTTTATTACATTAACCTGACTGTCAACTCTGAGAAAAAATGAGGCAGCAATACTGGTGTGAAGATTGAAACCGATTCTAGTGTCGATGGATTGCGTACCGAATTTGATCGGTTCGATTTCTCGGAACATTGTTGTTGCTCAGGTCTAGTGCTTTGTGATGTCGAATAAGAGCGAGTACAACGCGGATGATGATTCTGATCAGAATCGTGTGATTGAGAAGCTTGTCTAGTCGTCGACGGTTGCGTATTTGTTACCGATGCAGATTCTTGCCCTGCACACTTCGGACAGTCACAAGGCATACCAGGCTCCTGAACAGGTAATGTCGGATCGCCTCGGCGGCTCAGCCACTTGGAAAATACTTGATCCGCCTTGCAGAGAGCCAACTTTCCAAAGCTGATGTTTCCAGTAGGCGGCGTTGCCATGAAGCCTAGGATAGAAACGAGAAATATTAGTGAAGTTACCAGCAACGTTCACTATGTTGAATGAGAGTTCCAATCAGGAACTGCTTAAGTAAGATCAATAAATAAGCTAAACCTCAAATCAATGGTGAAATTTGCTTCGATCGACTCCTACAGAATATAAATAAATGTAAGATATTCGAACCCTTTATTGGTAAGAAAAAGTGTTTTCTCTCCCATCAACGCGAACCTTTTTCTTGCAAATCAGTAGAATCACGACACCACATGTAATTGTATTTTTTTTACTTGATCTGAGCAAAATAACTTGCATAAATGTGATTACAACATGACTAAGGGTGTGGGTGTGGGTGTAGCATTTGGGTGTGACTGTGGGTGTGAGATGTTTTTCCCCGGCGACCTAGGTTGGTCCTGTGGTGGACCATCTCTTAAAAGCAATACTAATGTACCATGCTGGGAAGTTTACAATACCTTCTCCGAAAATAGTTACCACGCATATTAGTATCAAACGCGAGCTCACTTGAATATGATAGGATCAAATAGTAGAGATACTTCTGTTTGTTTGGTAGATGCCACTTGATCTGTAACTTATTAACTGCAATGAATATGTATCACGAACTTGCTAATAACGATTCACTTTCTGATATGAACAAGAAATCTGAAATAGAAAAGTGATATTTACAGTATTATGTAAAGCACCTCATATAGACAGTAGTACCCAAAACTGATAGAAAAATAACACAGACGGCATCAAAATCTATCTTTAAAATCATGAAAAGCCACTATCGAGCTTGGAATTGTGTGGGTACTGATAGCCTAAAAAACCTCGCAAACCAGCTCTCATCCGACAGGCAGTTCAGCACGGAATCGCTCAGATATCGCTTCAACTTCGGCAGTTCTGCGTGAATTAGTTCTTATCAATAGCACAAATCCTTACTTGTGCCCGCAGCTCAGCGAAAACCAATTGAAAATGAGCTACGACTCATTCGCACAGTAAGCGCTGATCTTCGGCTTGGATTGCGTAAATATGACTTGCTTGTGCAGTCCAGTCTGTGGTACAGGCTGAGCTTCTCAAAGAACTCACATGAGAAAACGAGTACTCAATCAATGGGCGAATATCAAATTATGCTCAGTATTCCGTCGCAATTAAGATCAAATGAAATTTGCAGCTTCTATATACATGCGACAAATTTACATGACTTGTGCAAGGATTGCGTTGGGTTTGACGAGCGCGCACAAACATTTCTCATGCGACAAACACCCGTTGACAGTCACAAACGAAAGAACATGAATTTTGAATTACTCTCGCAGTTGTTTGCGATGAATGTGAGACGGTGGGAGGCAACTATTTTTTTTGTGAGAGAAATGTCTATTATTTGCGCGAGGATTGCCTCACGTTTGAAGAGCGTGTACAAACAATTACAGTTGGAAAAAACCTCGGATTACATTGCAGAAGGTGTGGGTGTGTATATGCGTGTCGGCTAATTCAATAGCAAAGCCCACATCTACACCCACACCCACACCACACCCCACCCACACCCACCCACACCCACACCCACACCCACACCCCACCCACACACCCACACCCACACTTACACCCCACACCCACACCCACACCCACACCCTCCACCCACATTCATTTATTTGATCAATAAATTAATATGAATTATTTTTATTTAAATAATCAATTAGAAAATGAACTCAGATTAATCAATATTAATAAATTTTAACATTTTGTAAAATCAATAATTGAGAGTCATATTTACACTAAAACAAGTATCGAATCGAAAATTTACAAATGAGGCAAGTGATTCCATTGATGACTAAGAGAAAAATATTTTATAATAAATATTACAGTATCAATATGCAAAATCGAGCTTTATCCCAATGTCAAACAAGTATGGCTAATCAGAATAGAAATATACCAGCAACGTTTGTGTTTTTTTTTATAATCTATATTGCTAATAAATTAATTAATCAATTTTTAATTTTTTTTATAGCGCTACTTCACGATTCGCAAACTCCAATTTATGCAACTCTTGGTTCACGAACATCTTAGTATGAAAATATGGCTCGAATAGATCTGATTTCAATGAAAAAAATTCTAATCTCTCTTCGACACCTTTTCATGATGATTCAATGACTCTAGCTGCTCATGATGGTGCATCAGTTTCATACTTGGCAAATTTTGTAAAAAGAATAGTTTCTTTTCTTTATTTACAATTTTTGAACACTAACTTGTGAATATGGTATATGGATTGAGTAAAGAAAAATATTATTCTCATATTCAATAGAAATAATGTTTTGCCAGGTTGACATATAAAGCAAGATAAACCTTATCTTAATGATTGAATAGAGTTTGATAATGTCTACTTCAAACAAGGTTACTATTTGCGGAAATCAAATGTTCTATTGAACGCATTTTTCTACAATTATTTTCTCTAAATATTCTTGCTTCTAGCCAATAATTTATACATATGTTTTTTTTGTTGTGACTCTCATGTACAAATGCAAATTTATTTTTCTTCTCTCTTTTCTCCATTCTAAATCATTTATTTGAATCACAATAATCACATTTTAAAAACAAACAAAAGAATTTTTTTCTAAGTTGTTATTGAAGAAAATGTTGAGTAATAACCACAAAGGATTACTCCTCTGGATAGTAAAGACAAAAAAAGCAATAACTATGTTTATGAGTTATACTTTTAATGAAGAACGGTAACGATTGATTATTGTGGATGGCTCATAAGAATTTCATAAATTTCTCAAAGTTATTTTAAGAGACAATCTATTACTAGATCGAGAAATCATTTCCGTTGAAAATATTTTGCTTTACATCTTTTCGATAATATGATATAAAAGAGCATATAAAATCTACCTATACATCCAAAATTTTAGCTTTGCTTTAATGTCTATTAGCTAAATATGAAGGATATATCGAACATGACACAAGATCCTTAAAAATCTTTCCTCGCGCTCAAAATTTGCAGCAACAATATCGATCTAAAATCTATTAAAAATACTTCTTAGTTTAATTACTCAACAGACGGTGGGTGTGGATCGGAGTGTAGGTGTATATCCTATCCCACACCCACACTAACAGTATTACACTACTATTCGTCGACCTATGGTCATCATGATAAAATCCCATAGTGCCCACATCCCCATATTTTTTAAGAAATTCTGATGTTGCTTGGCTATCCTATTGAAAGAAATCAATTGAAAATTCATGTTCGATTTAGAGAACAAAATATACTTGGCATAATTTTAGTGTAAGTTCAAGAGCAATTTTTCTGTCCGACTATCGATCGGAATCAAAAAATCATATGGATTTCTCCAATTAATCAGCATGAGCTATGCACAAAAAGGAATTTCCAAAACTATTTCTCCTTTTTATTATAATTCATTCTACTTGTTCGACCAATACGACGAATATAAAAATTACTTGTATCCGGTAAATCATAATTAACAACAAAATCAATAAGACCATTTGTAAATTGTTCTACAGTTTCAGTTCGTTGTTAATGCGTTTGATTTTCATGGATTATTATACTCATGAAACTTTTTTGTAAAAGTAATGCTCCTATAGAATCCGTTGATTACTGTGTTTCAACAAATGTCAAACAACGTTCAGATCTTGTTTCTTTGTAAATGGTACTTCTTCTATTGTATGTGCTACATCGACATTTGCACTCTCATAGAAACAAATATAATCTTCACGAAGCACATGTTTTGCTAATTGCTGTAATTGGTTAGAAAATGTTGTGAAAAATATCCATGGAACACGTTCTTCTTGTGATGATAAACCAAGACTTTCTAATTTTCGTATATCAAGTTCCAATTCTGTATCTAATATTCTTTAGAAAAACAAAAAAATCGCAATCAAAATTAGGTTCAACACCATCAGTGTCGTTTTTACATACCGATTAGTTTCATCTATAACGAGAAATTTCACTTGTTTTTAGTGAAACTGAAATAAGGAATCCTATAAAACTTTGAATACAATCCATTGAATTATATTTTTACTTGAACTTTTCCCACCATGTCTTTAAGACGATGCGATACAGTAAACATATTATGACCATCATCAGCAATGCGATGTAGGCGCAAATAATAATCACCCGAACATTTTGCGAGGATACATATTCTCGCTGTACGTTTATGAAGTAACTTACATGATACCACAGCAGTTCGATGTGTGATTTTTCTTGCTTCATCTTCTGTTTGTAAAACATGTTGGCATGTCGGTGATATAATAAGGCAAAGTGGTGATGACGGATGTTCTCTATTAGATAATACATCGACATGACATTCAAATAAAGGATGAGTAGCCGTTAAAAAAAAACTTACTGATCTATCAGATCCAGTTTGAGCATAAAACGAATAAATCATCTCGTTATTGAAACCTTCAAAATGAGCAAGACAAGTATTTGATACAATTTGTGTGTCAACATTAGCTTCTTCATTTAACCCAATTGATTTGACTTTGTCTAATGAAATATAAAAAAAGGTCATTGTTGAACTAAACATTAATAATAAAATAAAGAATACTATATTACCTAATGGTAGATAACAAATTTATATTCTAGGGATATTTCCAAAGTCTTCATCCTTTCTTATTGCTTTAATAAATATATCATCTGTATTTGTCAATGAAGGTGGTGAAAGATAATGTTTAATTGAATGATCATCAGCTATAGAAAAAAATGACTTCGATTATTTTTTTATCTTAATTCTTATATATATTTACGTTAATTGAAAATATCATCAGAAACCTATATGAATGATTGAATTTTTCTTTTCAAAAACTAAATATGCACTTACTCGGTTGTTATTTTTTTTGTTGACATCAGAATTATAGGAACTATCGCCATACTATCTGAAAGACTAAACAAATAACACATACTATATATATAACCTGAATATACTTACTTTTGCTATCATTTCCAAGATGAACACCATGATTATCTAGCAACTAAATAAAAACTATGGCTCTTCCTACTTATTTAAAATTATCTTATCACGAACATTGGATATGAATTGTCCTCTGTATGGAGCTCAATGATTTGTATTGAACAAATTGTTTTTCATTGTAGAAATATAGATGATGATTTATGAAACGTTGTACTCGTACGAGACTCGTCAGACATCGATGATTTGTAATTATTTGTCGACGACACCAAATCAGCACTGTGTTCATTATTTTTACCTCGTGTATCTTGAAGACAAATACAAGCAAATTTTTCATATTTATTTAGTTTTATCTTACGATGAGCAGCTGAACTGATTCGCTTTCTAGATACAACTGGACTACCTCCAATAAACATTGCATTGCTCTATGTAGATCATAACGATTTTTTTTGTTTTCCTCGAAGCATTCTATAACTTTGTTGTTTTAATTTGTACATAGTTTCTGTTCTTTGACGATAACAATTCAATACTACGATTCTCAACATATGAACTCAAAGTAGCATGACGTTCATTATCAATTCCATCAGGTTCATCTCGTAGATCAGAAAATTCTTGACTCATTTGCTCAGTCTTACTACTAGTGTCATTTTCTTTAAAACTCAGGCGAACGATTTCATTGAATATGCCGTAATTTTTTAAAATATTGACAAATGTGCAAATTTTTAGGTATTGAAACTGCACACTTGACAAATGATTATCCTCACTCTATCAAAATACACAACTATCACTGTATTGCCTAAGGAAAAATAGAAAATTTTATTTGGTCCAAATAAACAGCAAAATTATACTAATAGAAACTCCAATCGATGGCAATTTTGCAACTGAAGTGTGCATTAACATTATCATTACTGTGTTCCTAATGATTAATATGACAGAAAGAAATTTGAAATCGCTTGTGTGTCATTACTAACAGTATCGACATGTATAGGGATGCGAGTTTACTCTTGGATGCATGTCTCACTGACACTTGCACAGCACAGAGGTTCGAACAAGCTCTTAGAAAATCGATTTCGTTATCATTTATCCAATAAGGAAGAAAACTATGCATTGACGAGATATTAATGATATTGATGAGTGTTTCTCGAAAAGAGTTAATTACGACTGTTGTGAACAAGTGATACGAATGATTCGACTCATGCTATCAAATACGTATCATGTGGTTTTTCTGTCAGAGTCAAGTCAAAGGCTTCTAAATAATTTTATGGGGACTCAATCAGACCTACAGAGATATTTGTTAATGTTTGATGATCTTAGTAAAAGTAGAGTTAAGAAGAAACAAACTTTTTGATTTCTCATGCTGTAGTTTGTAGATGTTCGAGTCACTCAACTGTAGCAAAACTAATTTTGTACGACTTTTGCTTGTAAGAAAAGTCATACAATCAAGTTAGATTTCAATCTTTGCTTCAAATGTTTGCCAGCAAACAGATATACGAAAAAGTACAAGTAGTAAAGAATATTCGAAACATATTTCATTCGAGTTCAGTCAATAATAATTCTTAGTATTCATATGTAGAACGAGGATTCATATGTGAGCAATAACTGCTCTTTCAGTTCTAATAACGTTTATATAATATTCTACATTTATGCGATTGATAACGAGTTATTTCC